CATCGGTATTTTTCTGATGAATCAACCATTCCAATACTTTTTCTTCATTCATTAAATCATCTGTAAAATTTATCATTAATAGAATAAGAAATTAACTGAATCCATTCAACAACAAAAAAATTGCATATATACCTTGATAAAAATTCGGAATCTTTTCCTCAAAATAAACAAGGGTCGGTAATTCATCATATTCGATACCGAATCTTTTTGACACTTCAATGTCATCTAGTGATGGAAATCGGAATTAATGAAATTTTTTCAATTTCAAATACGATAAGATTAGAGTAGCTTTTTTTATAATAAAAAAAAATATTACAAACCAATTTTAACGAATGCTATTCCATGTTGATCACATTCATCGTCAATATTTTCAAGTTCTTGTAAAACTTCCATACTATCTTCATCTTGATCATCATCTATAATTTAATAAATGATAATATTATTACTCATAATCGGAAGTAATATTTTAAATTATCTAAAATATATTTACAAAATAAAACGGCCAATGCATCAGTATTTTCAATTAATTGTTGCAAAACAGATGCGCTAACATCTTCGATTTCATCCGAATCTTCAATATATTCATCCGGATCATCAACTGTATCGCGAAATTCGATAAGCCAATCAAGTACTTTTTTCTCATTTTCTAAATCACCGGTATAAACAATCGGAATCTTTTTTCTATAATAAACTAATGATGGTAAATCTTCTAGACCGTATTCATATGCCAAAGTTTCATCGGAAATTTTTACCTATATAGAAAATATTGTCATAGTGATTTATATCATTGTTGAACAAAAAAAAACATTTTTAAAATGATAAACATACAAATCCAATGTTTTTCTGATCAGCATCATCATCTATTTCTTCCAATTTGAGCAATACTTTATCGCTTTTCTTGTGATTTTTTTTATCTAATTTATTTGATTTTTTTTTGCAAAACAATTATTGATTGTTACATTACAATAGAAATGAAAAAGATACATACAGAATAAAACGGCTACAAAATCATGTTCATCGATATAATTTTGTAAAATTTTTGCATTGACTTCTTCAATTCTATCTGGTAAATCCATTGATTCAACTGATATAAGCCATTCGAGTACTTCTTCTTCATTCATCAGGTCACCTGGAATTGATATGAATGAAATTCATTTGGCAATGTTCCATGTTGAAAAAGATGAAAATTTATGATTACCTTCATAAATTGTAGGTTCACCGTGACGAAAATAGACCAATGTTGGAAATTGATTAATGCCATATTTTTTTGATGCAGCGCGTTCAGAATTTTTAACAAATTCTACACCATACTTATTTGCGTCATCATCAATTTTTTCCAATTCTTCGAGAATATCTTTACAATTATCGCAGGTTCGAGTATCTGATTTTTTTTTATTTTCCGAAACAATTTTAAATATGATCATAGATGATTTTCTGTGAGAAAAAAAAACTAAACGATTATAAACTTACAGAAAAAGACAGCAATATAATCCTGTTCTTGAATAAGATTATCCAGACGTTTAGCTTCAACTTCTTCAATAACATCCGAATGTAATGGTGAACGACGTTTCAATGCTTCGACCATAGCCAAATGATTGGATGGAATTATAATCGTAACCAATATGGTCATTATAAATATTTGAATTAAAGATAATGATGGTAATGAGAATGATGATAATAATGATGTTGATGACGATGATAAGGATGATGATGATGATGATGATGCAAAGGAAGATGATGATATCGGACATAATCGTTTATGATTAATGGTCCGAAACGATGATGGTGATGAATTATATGATGAGCATTCATCTGATGAGCATGATGATGATGATGATGTTTTTCCATATCGGATACCTGATGTTGAAAATGGCAGCCACCATAATGGTGTTTGGTTGCCTGAACACATTTTTGTTGTTGTTGTTGTTGTTATTATTTTTTGTCGAATCTTTTGTTTGAAACAAAAGATTTTTCAGATAAAATAAGCGTTTATATGTGTGTTGGGATGATGATAATTAAATATTAATCACAAATATTTATTAACTACTTTATACACTTATTAATATTAAAAAATCATGAAATAAAATTTTATCGAATCACTCACTAATCGAAAAAAAATTGAATCAAATCAAATTATCGAACTCTAAATGAAATAAATAGATGAGATTAAAAAAAACTCTTTATTCGATGATGATTTTCATCCGATTAGATATTTGGAAAAAAAATTTCGATTTCTAAGTAAAAAAAAAGTGAAATTATTTAACTTCGGGACACAAACAACGGTAACCATCATCATCATCACCATCACCATCACCACATTCACAATTCATTCAAGAATTTCGGTGAAAAAAAGGAGAAATTCTCATTAACTTTTTTTCCATATTTTTTTTTCTCTTCATTCAACTATCCATCCATATACATCTTTTCATATGTTAGCAACACAGAAAAAAATGTGTGTTATTATTAACCTAGACGAGAAAAAAAATTTGTTGCAATAATGAAAAAAAAAATATTTATAAATGAATGAATGAAAATAAAAACGAAAATAAAAATCAAAGTTATATATCACCTTCACTTATCGTTCACTTATATTCACAAAAAAAAATTCTATTTTCAAAACAAAATTTTCTTTCTGTTTATGTCCTTATTGTAATGACGAAAATGATGTTACAATAACGAAAAATAGAGGGAAAATGCTTGTTGTTGAATAAAAGAAAAAGATAGAGATAGAAACGAAAATTGATGGAAATCTTTTCGGGATTTATTTTCTCACTTTCGTTTACCGAATATCTTATAGACATGTTAACAATAACCGGGGATAATAATGATGATGATGATGATGATGAGGATAATGGAAAATAGTATAACCAACATGCAAGAATCATTCATCAACCATCATCATCATCACCGAATTTGTTTGCCTAGTTTGAAATATTTAATTTTTTTTTGTTCTTTTTCTTCTACTTTTTCTTTTTTTTCCTCTTCATAAACATTTAGCATAATATTCCAAATGAATTTATTTGTTGACTTACTAAACAATCACAAACATTATTATTATGTTTGATGTGTGAGTTTAAATCAGTTTGCTAAAATAAAAAGAGTGAGAGTAAAAAAAAACGAAGATTTGAAAACTAAAAACTCCCCATACGGAGCTAATATTTTGATTCTGTTATAATTTTTTTTTGACTATATATACATCAAAGATTTATAAGATGTTTGCCAGAAATTAGAATTTAAAGAAAGAAAGAAAACAAAATCTATTAAAATGACTTGTTGTTATCAGAAAGATGAAGTGAGGGAAAAAGAAAGAATAAAAAAAAAGAAAAAGAAATAGGCCGTTCAAGTTTCTTGGCATATGTGTGTGTGTGTGTATGCATGTGTCGGATTGTACACAGAATATCCATGTCGATTTTTGTTAAAATTTTTTTTTCTAAATCGAATCTTTTGTTATTGAATTTTTTTTTCATCGTTTTCATTTTGAAAAAAATGCAATCAAAATGAAAGAATTTGTTTATCTTGTTTTTAAAATGAATGGTGAATTTTGAAAAAAAAATTCTGAAAAAAAACAAAATCTGAATTAGTCGATTGATAGAAGAATCGATCTTCTTTTTTTCTACTACGAATCAAATCTGATTTCAAATGATTATCCCATAATCTTTTTTTTTAAATATCATTTTATAAATGTTTTAATAAACTCTTTTGATACAGAACATTTTTCTTTTGATTTCAAACATCAACAACAATTTTACTTGACTTCAATTGTCACCACCCATATGAAAGATGGAGAAGAATTCCTGTCATCAAACAAACAAACAAACAAAAAAACGTCTGATTCTGGCAACTAAGTCAATAGCGATTGCTACTTTGACATACAAATGTAAAAAAAAGAAGATATGCCATACATTTTGATATGTAAACTATACCAACTATCCTCAATAGTTAAATCATTCGTTGTCCGCATTTTGTTGTTGAACGATATAAAAAACCAATCCCAAATAAAGATGTTGAATGCGATCACCAAAAAAAATAAGTAAGAAAGAATTGTAAAAAAAAATTATATATAATTCAATCAACTTATTATGAAGAAAGAAAAGGAGAAAAAAAAACAACTTTAGAATCCATAAAATAGACTTGAAATGAAAATTTCTATTTTGAGCATTATCAAAAAAAAAAATTTATAAACTGTCAAAAAATAAAACATTTCATACATCTATGCACATCTAAACAAGCTTTTCATTAATGTTTTATTTTTGTCGCGGTTGTTGATCAAATATCTAGAAGAAAAATTCTAAATACGATTCTTGATCCTTTTTAGTGACAAAAAATAATTTTAATGTTTTTTTTCTCTTTCTAAATTGCTAATGATGATACTTCCATCTGTTGTTATGAATGCTTAATACGTTGAATAGCAGAGATTGATTCAATTATCGAATTATTCGAATCAATTGTTATATTTAAAAATGTTTTATAATGTAATTTTTTTTTTTGGATACAATATTGTGTTTATTTCGTTGATATTCAACGAAAACTAATAGAAAATCATAGTTATCAGTTGATTGATTGATTGATTGATTGATTCAATTGCCATTTACACAATCATAGATTATGGATTAAGATTGGCACATTTTTTCATATTTCAATTATAAAGATAAAAGAAATTACCATTAAAGAAATACTTGAAACAAAATCATATTTATTTTTTTTGTGATTGATATTTTCACATTGACAAATTAATTGAGTTAATTAAATCATATTCTGTCTTAGTCATTGGTTAACAAACAAACTGATAAAAATTATGGACCGGATTAGTGACAAATATTTTTATTGTATCAAATTGATTTCATCTAGAACAATAATATTGCAGTTTTTTTTTGCAACAAAAAAATTTGATAAAACTATCATATTTCGATTGTCTAGACAATTAATATTGTCCTTGAAATTTGGTTTATCATTTATTTTTAAAGATGCTTGGATACATTTTTCATCATTCATTTCATATATAAAATCAAACACTGATCATTACGTATTGTTTATTAAACATTTTTTTAAAAAATTGTTTTTGGAAATTATAATAAAAATTTTTATAAACTTGAAATCATGAAATTATCATTGTTAATCTGTTTGATTTTATCCATTCATATTGGTCATTCGTTTGGTGAGTTTTAATAAATAATTATAATCACTTTTTTTCAAAATTTTTAATTATTATTATTTATTTTTTTATTTGTAAAATCTCAATAAATACTTAATAATTCGTAATGAAGCAAAAGATATCCATCAACAATCAACAATCGAAATCGATTCAAATATTGAACAAATTGATAATCTTTTACAACAGATAAATGCCAAATCATTCGATGATGATGTTAATGATTTTATTCAAAAGATAAAGGACTTAATCAAAAAAATTGAAGATGATATAACAAAAGCCATGAAAGAGGGTAGAGATAATGTTGATGATATTATTAAAAAAATTGAAGATATAATAAAAAATATCACTGTAGGATTATTTGGTTTGTCAGTAGAAAAAGATGAAACAAAACGTAAAGAATTGAGGGATGCAATACAACAACAGGTGGATGAGTTAAACAAATATGATGCACAATTAAATTCAGCTTCATCAATAATTCAATCAAAATTTTTTTTAATTTTTATTATGGTCATTAATTTTCTTATATTCAAATCATTCAGCTAAATTGATATAACCATTATCACATTAATATGTTTGATCAAATTTTGAAATTAAATAAATATTGATTTTTTTTTTTCTTTTCTTTTTTTAATATTGATAATAAATGAAAAAATAAATTCAATTTGAAAATGTATTGAACGAAAAAAATTCATTTGTTTTTATTATGTTGATACAAATTATTTTAAGTTCAATTGAATATTTGACTTAGTCCATGGATTCAAATCGATTGCCATTGTATTGTTTGCTATAGTGAAATAGCATTTAGCGCGCCAATATTAAATTCGAAAAAAAATGTCTTCAACTATAGGTTAAAGTACAACGTAATTGTATTCACTTAAAAAAAACATCGTTTTCAACTAAAATCACTAAAGTAATAGATATTGGGTAAAAGTCTCAATGGATACTTCGAAAGTTAGCTAATTCGAATTTTTTGTTCGAAAAAAAATATAGCTGGTTAAAAAAAATTAGTGAGCGCAACATTCTATTGCGCAGTCTGTTTGATATATCAAAGTACAGATTATTTCAATATTCGTCTATCCGGTGCTCATTGAATTTTTGTTGATGAAATTTGATCCACGCATGTGTTGATCCGAATATATTCTTCATTTCATTTATTCATTTCGTAGCGGGAAACAATATTATTCATATATCGACCAAATTACTTCTTTTCATTTGAAAAAAAGTCAATTTCAGATTTATATCAATTTTTTCACTTTTCTCATGGTTACCTGAATAGTTCATATGTTTTCAACAAATGTTCAACAAGTGAACAGTTTTTCATTGATTTAATCTTAATTATTGCTGGTGTTGTTTTTTTCGATACAATTTTGTTTCGACTTTGTTTTTCTATGAATTGAACTATTTATATCATTGAATTTGTAACATGAATCGTGGTAAGTTTTGCGGTTATTTTATCTCCAATTATATTATCTTCTTAATCAATCAATATCATAGAATATCGAATTTTGACTACAAGAATTTCCATCAATTCTCAACGACAATTTCTACTAAAGCATGGCAAATTTGTGGCACGATGGCTGACTAAAGATGAAATAGTCAGAGAATATCAAGATTTAACTATTCTGAATGAATTTAGAGAAAAATTTCAATATGGATTTTCAATCATTTCGGAAGAAAATGAAATCGATCCATTCGAAAATTTGATTCAAGTTCAAAGTAATCGTTATAAATTCTTTGATGTCAATGAATATATACCAGGTGCTGTATATTGCGATTGCAAAGATTTTCAATTAATGAGTTGTCGTACCTATGGATGTGAAAATTGGAAAAGAGGTGTTGAATGTACTGCTGCATGTCCTATGGAATATGATTGTATGAATCGTCCTTTGCAATCAACCAGTAACGAAGCATATTTAGAAGTATTTAAAACCAAACAATACAATTGGGGAGTTAAAAGTCGAATTGGATTTTTTAGAAATCATTTCATTGCTGAATATAAAGGAATGATTAAATCAAACAATGATGAAACTGTATCGTCAGTCTATTCAATGGACCTTGGTAAAACGACAGTTGTTGATGCATCAAGTTTTTGCAATGCTATGCGATTTTTGAATCATTCCTGTCTTCCGAATTCATATTCTAGTTTGCGTGCTGTCGATGGTCAATGGCGGCTTGGCATTTATGCACTCCGCGATATTTGTAGTCATGAAGAAATAACAATCGATTATGGTAAAAATTACGCACAAAATCCAGAAATATGCTATTGTCAGGCGCCCAATTGTGCCGGAATAATAGGTGGTAAAAAAGTAAATAAAATTTCGATTGTATTGATTGATTTGATGAAATCTTTTTTATTTGTTCAAAATAGGAATTTGAAATTGAACCTAAAAAATGGCGAGAACCATTTGATGAAATGACCCGATTTTTGAGAGATTTTTTCTACGAAAAGCTTTGGGAAACAATTCCTATCTAATTCGCTGGTCTTATCATTAATAAAAAATTTAAATTTCAAAATTTTTTCCAATTATTAATAAAGTTATACAATAATAATAATAAAGAGAACATTTCGTTAAAAAAAATAGCAAGCGCAGTCTGTAGCTGAAGCAAATGGGTTGTTTTCGATTTACTTCGATCGGATGTTCGTCGAATTTGTCTTCTTTTGAGTTGAAATTCGATTCACGCATGTTCCTTCATCATTTTTTATAGTAAAAAATCAATGGCCACATGTATGATAGCGGGAAACTTGTAGCAAAAAAAAAAAAGAAAAAAAAAAGAATTTACATTTTTTTGGTATCTATAAATGTATCCATGGTAAATCAACAATCTAAACATTAACATAAATAAAAGGTAGAAAACGTTTTTTTAGGAAAAATAATTGGCTATCATTTTTGACAAATCTCTTCAATCATTCAAAAATGAATCAACTTAGTGGTAAGTTTTGTGTTATTTTCTCGAATTTCATTGATTTTTTATTGAATAATCAATTTCAAGTTTCTCGTCGTTATAAAATTCTAACAACTCGAATATCTATGAATTCTCAGCGACAATTTTTGTTAAAGCGAGGAAATTGCAAAGCACAATGGTTGACTGTTGAGGAAATAGAATCAAGATATCAGAACTTAAATAATCTTAATGAATTTCGAGAAAAATTTCGAAAAGGATTTTCAATCATACCGGACAACGATCAAATTGATCCATTCGAAAATTTGATTCAAGTTCAAAGTAATTGCTATAAATTCTTTGATGTCAATGAATGCATACCAACTGCATCTATTTGTAATTGCAAAAACAATAATAGTTCAGATTGTTTGAATGAAGGATGTGAAAATTTTAGTAGAGGTGTTGAATGTACACCATTGTGTCTAATGGGTGATGATTGTTCTAATCGTCATTTGCAGATAATTAATAATGAAAAAGACTTGGATGTTTTCAGAACAAAACAATACAATTGGGGAGTCATTACTGATATTGATTTTCATAAAGATGATTTTATTGCTGAATACAAAGGGATAGTTCAATCATGCTATGACAGAACAATATCGCAGATCTATTCAATGGATCTTGGTCGAACATCGGTTATCGATGCATCGCGTTGGTGTAACGCAACTCGTTTTTTGAATCATTGTTGCATTCCCAATGCACAATCTAATCTACGTGCTGTCGATGGTCTTTGGAGACTTGCTTTTTTTGCTCTTCGCAAAATTGAAGCTAACGAAGAGATAACAATAGATTATGGGAAAAGTTATAGCCAGAATGCTGAAATTTGTTATTGCCAGGCGCCAAATTGTGCCGGAATTATAGGTGGTAAGAAAGTAAGTAAAATATGTTTTTTTTACTAATATTGTTTTCTTAATGACTATTCATTTATTACAGGAATTTGAATTTAATCCTAATAAATGGAATGAACCGTCAAATGAACAAACTCAATTTCTGAAAAGATTTTTTGCAGAAAAGCTATGGGAAACAATTCCAATTTGATTTGCTAATTTTATTTTATAACCAGAAAAAATTATTATCACTTTATCACTAAAAAATGACTTTATTTACAAATAATTCTTTTTCATTATATGATTGATCACAAATAAGAATGATACAAAAATGATATGATTGGATTCAAAATAAAAATAAATTACAATTGCTTTTCGGCATTATCATTAATAATAAAAAATGTACGATTTATAATTATCTATTCGGTAATTGATAGCCTTCATGATCCACATGTTGTTCCAATAATAATTGTTGTTGATTACCAAACATTTGATTAGAGTTATGATTATTATTAATTATAGATTCTTTGGCCATTTTTAGATAGATTGTAGAAGCTGTTGTACCTGATAATGGTAATGATGCATGATGATGATTATTATTATTATGATTATGTTGATTGGCCATTATAATTGGATTAACATTTGGATAATTATCCGATGGTAATCTTAAATGAAAATGATTATGAGATAGTTGTACGTTTTGTTGTTGATGATTACATTGATCATTATTTCGTGATATGAATATTGTTTGTGATGAAGGTGAAGAATCCAACACTAATGTTGGAGACATTGTCAATATTCGTGTTAGACCAATATTATTATTACCAGTTATTGATGATGATGATGATATTGGAATTAAATCATCAGTTAATGAATTATGATCATCAAGTGTTGTTAATGTTGTATTGCTTGTTGTTGCAATATAGCCTGTTGATGTTGCACCCATTGTACCATAAAATGGATCAGAACGTTCTATTGATGTTGGTTGATGAATGACTGGTTGTTGTTGCTTCACGTGTCCATTACAATAAGATGTTAGATCCAATTGATGATGAAACGAATTGATTTCATCATTTGGTATTACTATTGAATCAATGATTGGCTGATAATTTTGATTATGTACAGTTGTTAATCGATTTCGCTGTTTAATTGAATGCTGTTGTTTCAACATTTGTTCAAATTCAATTTGCATTGATTGTCTTAATTGTTGTAAATGTTGTAATATTGTAGCAAAAGATGGTCGTAATTCTGTTTCATATTTCCAACATTGTTTCATCAATGAATACCTATTAAATAATAATAAATAAATTTTTAACAAAAATTTTCAAAAAAAATATATAACCAAATCATTTACATTTGTGATGAACAAAGTGGTGGCCGTTCTAATATACCACCAGATTTGACAAATTCCAAAACTTCTTTATTTGAATATGCTTGATATGGTTGTTGACCTAATGTCATTACTTCATACATGATAACACTGTATGACCAAACCTATTATGTAATTATAATGAATAAAAATCGATGAATTTATACATTGAAAATAAAATTACTAAAAATTCATTCTTTTCTCATATACTTACATCACTTTGTGTAGTAAAAACACCATCCGATAATGATTCTGGTGACATCCATCGTACTGGCATTAATCCACCTTCTTTTCGATAATAATTTTGTTGATATAAACCTCTTGTTAGGCCAAAATCGGCAATTTTTACAACACGTTTTTCACGATCAGCACTTGATACTAAACAATTTCGGGCAGCTAAATCACGATGTACAAATTGTTTTTGTTCCAAATATTCACAACCTTTCGCAACATCAATACAAATCGACATTAGATCATCAATTGTTAATGGACTACTCGATATTGATGTTGATGGTTGTTTATTCGTTTGATTAGTGCTACCAGGACGATTTGATCGTAGATATTTTAAAAGATCGCCGGCTTCCATTAATTCAAGAACAATAACAATCGATGATGAATGATGATTAAGACAAACACCCAACAATTGTAAAATATGTGGATGTTTAAATTTTGACATAAATTTTGCTTCTTTAAGAAAATTACATTGATCTTCATCCTTTGTAGAATTTTTATTCAATACTTTTACTGCAACTCGTTGTTCAGTTTTATGCAAAATTGCTTCATGTACTTCACCAAATGCTCCTTTACCAAGTAACTTTACTAATGTAATTGAATGATAATCAAATATTTCGATATCAGTCAAATCAACATCTTGTACACTACTGTTTATAACATGAACAGAATAATTAGTTAAATTTTTCTGAAAAAAAATTTCTGAAATTAATTTTAATCATTAATTACCTATTCACATATAATGCATTAGGCAAATGTGGATGTGGCCGTTGTTGCCATGGTATCAATTCAATTTGATGGCTATTTGTTGATGATGAAATGATTGATTGATTATTGGAATCAACATCTTTTGTATTTAGTTTATAGAATCGTACTAACGATAAAATGACAAAATAATAAATAATTAGAAATAAAAATTATAAAAAAAACAAACAAAATACTAACATGAACATAAAGAAAAAATGACCAAACAAACGGCAACAGCACAGAATATAGCAAACATTATAATGAATAAATGTGATTCACCATTATTGAATGATGATGGATATGTTATTAAACTGTTAACACCATCAATTTCCGTCGGTTGACCAAGCCAAAATGGTCGTATTGTTTGTGCATATTCACGTTGATTAACACCCAAACGATTAGAAGCATATAATCGAAAATGATATTGTTGACCTGTTTGTAATCCAGATACAATCCAATAATTATCGGTGCCATTGTAAGCAAGTTTTGATGAATGATGTTGATTAGTAACAAGTTGATTTTGTGTTGATGAATTAATTGCATGATCATTAATCATATTATTATTATTATTATCATCATCTTGTGATGTTATTTGCCATCGATATAGTTGATAATAAACTTGTGAATCCGAATTTGAACGTACCGGTTGCCAGATTATTTTATAAATATTGATTCCATTATTGATTTCATGTTGTTGATCATTTTTTGAATGAACAGTTTGTATTTCAAGATTTTCCGGACCATCAGGAACGGTCATATTAGTTTGTATACGAAACAATTTTGGTGATTTCGGCCATTCATATCGGAATCGAGATGGACGATAAATTAATTCTAATCGAAATCTATACCATCGATATGGTTTCAAATGTTTAAATTGATAATGATATTTTTGTTCAGATTGTGTTTGATCACTGGCAAATTTGGTCCAGTTAAAATTTTTATTAAATTGTTGATTTTTGTGTAATTTTTCATTGATATCTGGTTCGGATTGAAACCAAATTTCATGAGATTCAATCACCGATTCACCAAATGGTGCTTGCCATTCTAGATCAATTTGTCTTGCTGATAGATATTTCAATTGTAAATCGGAAGGTAATGGAAATGATCGAATTGTTATTGATTCTGAATCCTGAAACTGGTGATTATCAACGTAAAAATCTTTGCTTTGTTTATTTTTTTCAATAGCATAAACACGAACAGTTATATTGTAGATTGTATCTGGCCGTATCGTATCCATATGAATCCAATATGATCCATTCAAAAGTGAATGATGAACACCAAATGTATCATCTAATTTCCATGATTGCAAATCCAGGCTATCATTATGTGAATGACATCGAACTTCATAGACAACTTTTTTAGCATTTAAACGTTCAGGACGATCCCATAGAACAAGAATTCTTTCAGGACTTTCAACGATTGCACGAACATTTCGTGCTGGTGCTGGACGAGATTCCGAAGTTGAAAATATAAATCCATCCCAATAAAGATATGGCCGATGAATTGAATCAGAATAATCAATACGATTCGATAGAGTTGGTATAAGACTTGCATTGTATGCCAATTCCAATTGATGTTGGCTACGATTTCGAATTAATTCAAGATAAAAATTATCCATCTCGATCGAAAAGCTATAATTACTGAATGGTTCCAAATTATCAATGACAATAGTTTGATTAAACGTATCGATAGTAGAACGTAGATCAGTACGATTTAAGCCATATCGGATTCGAAATCGAATTGAAGCCAAACTTGGTTGCCAATCTATTGATTCTTGATTGGACATAATAGGTGATGGACAATTGTTGTTTGATCGTATATCATTGGAAGTCATGCGATCTAAATCGATTTGTAATGTCAACGATGTAGATGTATGTCTAAGCATTCTCATGTTAAGATGAATGTTTGATAATGGAATTAAACATTCTAAGCTATATGGATAAGGTTGTCGAGATAATTGAATCATATTACGTATCGGTTTTGCTAGATTAATAATTTTGATTGGTTGGCGAAAATCTGAATCATGTTCTGAATCTAATTCTGTACTATAGATAAGACCATTAAATGAATCATTTTTCCAATATAATTTTGATGATATCTGATCTAATTCGATTGCTACTGGTGGATTAGTTGTTTCGACAAATGAAGTAATTCGTCGACAATAACATCCATCACTGCTCTCAATGAATGTTTGTCCATTGCGATCAAAATATATCATTCGTTGACCTGTTATTATTGATTGATCCAAACTATGAATTAGTTGAAAAGCACCAGATATATTTGGCGTATGTGTACAATTGCATAAACGATCACGGCTTGGTGATTGAAAGTAATCTAAACGTTCATCACAAGCACTACCATTTATGGCCAATCGACAACGATGAGCAGTGATCATATAGAAAGTGGATTCATGATTTAATTTACCAGGAATTTTTGATTTAATTGGTTGTTGTGTCCATATTAACATTGATCGATAAGGATCGATACGCATTGTGTTGATATAGTTGCCTGTTATGGTTAATACAATACGTGTCGTTTGTGTTTCTTCAGTATAACACCAGATTGTGCTATGATTGCGGAAAAAATCAACAGTTGATATATATAATCGTCTGCCAAGCCAGTCCATTGTGATCGATGTGATTGATTGTGTGAAATGGGCCAATATCGTGTAGTTGCCACTTTGACCACTTTGTACTTGATTCGATGATCTTAAAGGTCGTACAATTTCATCATCTTCATCATTATTATCATTATCTTGTATGAGTTTGCTACATTTAAGAAAATTTCCATCTTCAACGAAATATAATCGATTTTCAGCAAAATTATAATCCATCAATGATGGTGATAATGATTTGATTACTGATCGAACAATTTGTTTAAGATCCATATCGGCTTCATATATGGAATCACGTTCGGCTAATAATAATCGCAACGGTGGTTCAGATCGATATGTTTTAAATTGAATAACTTGTGATGGTGGTCCTTCTCCCACATACGTTGTAGCTCGTACTTCAAAATAATAAGTTGCATTCGGCTTTAAATCTTCAAGTCGATACCACAATTGATTCGGTATTACTTTGTTGATAATCGAAGTAACTTTTGTCACATTGCCAGTATCCATAGTCCATAATGAAATTGTATAACTTTGAATTAGACCATTTGGATTTTCCGGTTCTAACCATCTTGCTTCAGCTGCAAAACGTTTTTCAGATTTTGTCCGTTTGGGATTTAATTTGTCACTATCATTCATAACATAGGTAAACACACGAACTGAACGAGGTTTAGATGGTATTGATGACGGAGTATGCAATGTAGCCACTACCTGTCGACTTGATGCCCAATAAGTGAATGAACGTAATGCAATACGAATTTGTGCATAAGGTTTTGATGGTTTTAAATGTTCTGGCAATATGAATTCAGTTTGATTGAGAATAAAATGATTTAAATTATTATTGGTTGATGATTGTTTAATTGCAGCATTATCTTCATCATTTTCAAGCGATAAATCATAAAATACTTGTCCATAGTTAACGTTTGTTACAGGATTCCATTTGATGGTGAAATTTTCCCATGTTCCTTGAATTTGTATGGAATTTTCGTCCACTGATTTCGGAACAACATCAATTTCAAAACGACGATCTCGTTGATCATCATTATCGGTAACAATTTGAAATGTACTAATTCCACCAGTATTTTGACGAATAGTCGCAAATGTTTGTCCGTGATCATCGCTGACAACCATCTGATTTTGTTGTGTGTTTAACCACCAAAATCTTCGGGCAAATGATGCTATTGGTCCAATCAAATTATTTGATTGTTGTCGTGCCAATTGAACTGAATGTACATGTTCAGAATCCAAATTAATCTCGTTTATTTGATCAATTGTTTCGAATAAATCAATGTGATGGAGAACCATCACAATGTTTCCATCTTGATTTAGAATATTTTCATCACTTTCTTCGGTATTAGTTTTATCCAATGATCGAACTGTTGTCCAATATAATCTTCCACTTTTTTGATCTATTGACAAACTTTTTATCTGTTGTGTACGAAGCAATAATCGTTGTGAATTTTTCATTCCGTTCAATCTAGCTATGCGAAGACTGGATGATGTTGACCAATACAAAAAACCATTTATCGAATCGATTGCTATCTCTTGTGCATAAGTTATAATAGGTAAAATTTCGATTTGAGATCCATCCATATTACATCGGCAAATCTAATGTTGTGAAAATATTTCATTATTAAGTAATTTATGCAAATAAAATAACAATAAATTTATACCATTCGTTCTAATGGATTTGACCAATAGATTTTCGGTGCCATCCATTCAACAGCAATCGAATGTGCATTACTTTTATTGACAACAACAGTTAGAGTGGAATGTTCTACCGTAAGACTTCCATAAAGTAGAATATGTTGATCAGTGTTCAAAACAACTGAATCTTTATAAATATAAACACCTAAAATAGAAATTATAGATAAAAGTTTTCATTTTAAAAGATTATAATCATATAATTTACAAAATAACTGACCAGTTATATTATTAACACCTAATGTATCCAATTTTGATTTAGGCAATAATTGTTGCTTGAATTTACCATCCAATTCAGTTCGTATTAATAGACGATCTTTTGTTGCAATTAAAGCATATGGTCTATTTGTCATTGATTCCATCGATGGTAATGTTCGTCCAATAAATTTATTTGACCATGCACCATTTCCAGCTGATGTGAATGCACGTACACGTATTTCATAACCAGTATCCGGTTGTAATTCAACAGCATCACATTGTGTTATATTATTAACTTTTGCTGTATGAACTACTTGTGGATTATCGGATTCTTGAATAGCTACTTCATATCGCCATTGTTGCCATGCACCACGTCCGCTTGTTCCGAATAATGCCGGTTTTTGCCAACTGATCCGTGCCGAAGTATCAAGAAATACTGCTTCGACAGCTTCAACAGGTGTCAATGGTACAGGAATCGGTTGACTTTGTTGATCCATAATTGCTAATGATATTAATCTTGATTCAGTTGTATAAGTATTATGATAATACATTTGTTCATCAACGTGATATTCTTCCCAAGTTATATTTTCTGCACGGCTGAAATACAATCGTTGATTATAGATAACCATATTATCCATACCAGCAAATGGACTAATTTCCATACGATTAGCACCAGCAATAATGGCATTATCACGAATCGTTGTCTCATCATTACCATCGATTGTTATGGAATGAATTGAAGCAGTATGAGTCATCGGAAATAGTAATCGATAGTTCAGATAATTAATGGCAAATGTTGAAATCCACGAATCACTTTGATAAATAAGCTCAATTTTTGATCTTAATGCATTACTATTACCAGATCGAATCGGCCCGTTTAAATGGCATAAATCTAATCTATATATAGCTGTACGATTAAACATATTTGATTGAATCCAAAACAAATAGCCATTATATGGATCAACTTTGAAATCGATTGGTTTTTGATTTGGTTGAAACGAACTTATGTAAATAGATTCAATATTTTCTCCATCTAGATTAGATCTCATCACTCGATTTGCCGGTTCTTCAAGCCAATACAAACGATCATTCAACCAATCAATAGACAGATGACTGGGCTGATTACTTCCATTGATGATACGTAATACTTGATTAATAGAATTCTCTTTAAGCCATATACGTCGAATAGTACCAGAAGAATCGGCAACAAATATATATCGTCGATTAAAATGAACAGCCATTCCTGTTATGTCACCATTTTCAACATAATCAGTCAGATGATAAAGAATCTCCTCATCAAGTAAAAAGTCAACATTTCTTCGTGCAACCGATTTACTTGATGCAAGATATAATTTATAATGCATATATTCTTTCATTTCCAATTCTTCATCATCGATTTCTTCCGATTGTTTGGGTGTTGAAATCTGTCGCCAACATCGTATACCTTCACCGAAATTATTGTGTGTAACAATCGATACTGTATAGTTGGTATCACTTTGTAGATCATTGAAAACATAGCTATGAATAGCTAGATTACTAGTTCGAAATGGATCCCAATGTGTATGAATATCTTTAACAGTACGACGACCAGTATGTTCATTATAAAGATATAAACTATAAGCAATTATAGGACCATTTGGAAATGCTGGTGCACGCCAATTCACCGAAATCTGATTTGGTGATATTGCCATACAACTGACTATAATACAGGCACTTTTTGGTACACCATATGGTAATGTAGTGAACGGTTCACTCGATTCAGTTATAATCGATTCATGTAATGAGGATGCTAATATCCATTCAATACGAAATAAATAGCTTGTATAGGCATTCAATCCATTTATATGTAATATATTCGTTTGATCATTACTGATATCCGTGAATGCACGAACACCGGCTGCACCAATATACATCCATTGTGATGGTAGATTCTGATATTTCCATTGTATACGATAACTTATATTGATCTGTGTTCGCAATGATTCATGTAATTGATTCCATTCAATTTTTAATGAATCATTTGATAATGAATTTGGTACTAAACGTGGTGGTCGTAATGAACCATTTGTTTCAAGTAAAAGTTTAACATGATCAATATATACAGTATGAGCATGATTACAACCAAGTGCACAATAATTGTCCTATGTTTTCATAACGAATATATGCAAAAAAAAAGAATAAAAGAATAAAAAATAAAGATTACAATCATCACGGATATTAGAGAATAAATAATAATAATAATCAGATATAAATTGAATCGATCAACTTACACGATCACCAAACCCATTTTCAATCATAATCGATGATTGTTGTAATTTCGGCAATTCATTATTATCATCATTATCAATGTGATTACCGCGGCAAACTTGAAAACAAGCTGATGGTGAAAGATACCAGTAGTGACAACCATTTTTGCACTTGAAAAATATTGAATAAAACAATAATAATAATTAAAAATCGGAATCATTTGATTTTTTTTTCATCTTTAATTTTTACGCATTTTTATTATCATCGTTATCATTATAAAATTTTTTTTCTTCAATAATTGAATACATGATCATAGATAGACATATACAAAACTATCTATTAATCTGATAATCAAATCTCATCCGTCATATTATAAATGAATGAATGATTGAAGATAAAAATAAATATAGAGAGAGAGAGAGAGAGAGAGAGAAAAAAAATCAATTAATGCATCATCAACGCATGCAACTAAATTATCTAAAAGGTACAATATGGAAATACACATTCACACAGACATCCGTATACATATATTGTATTATTGACTGGGTCCGAAACACACCTTGTTATTTAAAAAAAAACAAAATTATTTTTGTAACCAATGTTATGAATGAATTGGATAGGATTTAAGTTTGATAATCAAATCATCATTCTCATCATCATCATCATCATGATGTGATAGAAATGAAAAAGAAAATTTATAGAAATGAATAATAAAATGAAATAAAATTTTTTTTTTGGGCTTGTCTGAAGATCCGATTCGATCAATAAAAGGCGAAAAATAAGAAGAGGGAGAGAAAAAAAAATGTAATACAATTTGACAGATACAATAACTCTCATCAACCTTTGACCTAAAGCCTAACCTTATCGATGCTATTTGTAATAATTTTTTTTTGTTGTTGTTTCTTTTCTATTGATTTTTGGATTTCTTTTTTTGTGTTTTATTTTCATTTTCATTTCTATTTTATTATGATTATTGTTCAATTCATCATTTGTTTGTGATTTTGTTTTCCGCAAAAAAATAAAGAAGAATAAAACAATCAAAATAGGATACATACCAATCGTATTTTACATGAAGAATTACAGGCAATATCCAATTCATCTTGTACGTTCTATATAAATTTAATATTAGAAAAAGAAAAATAAAAACAGAATGAGAAATAAAATCGGAAATATATTTAATGATGATCAAAGAAGAACACCAACAACAACAACAAAATCGGGGGTGGTGTTAAGTTAGATGAAGAATTTGTTTTTTTTTTCTTTGAAAATTTTTTAATTTTTAAAATTAATGATATTAAAAAAAACCATGAAAAGTTTTTTGTTTTTTTTCTCATTCATTAATAAATCCGGTTTGATAAAAATTTCCTGACTAGTCCGTACATAACAAAAATTGAAAAAAAAATGTCAAATCAATGGAAAAAAAGATTCCATTTTCAAGTATATCAAATATCCATGATTATTGTTGATGGTAATTTTTTTTTTGATTTTTATCAAAAAAAAAAAAAATTTTTTCCTTTTTGTGTTATGCAAATTTTCCTTTCAATTTTTTTTTTTAATTCAAGAAA